AGGTCAGCTACTTCTGGATAAATTCTCAACTCATTCCGTATGTTGAATATGAACACATCTGCATAGTGAGTCAAAGTATATTGAACAGTTCGTATGTGTTTTGATCATATCATTAAAGTTTTCAGACCTTCAAATGACATGTTTTCTTTAGTTATCTTATTTTGAAAATTTCTTGATAATTGGGTATAGCCTCACTAGAGCTTATATCAACATCTGGAGATAACGAATTATTTTTCGATACAAACACCTAGCTAGATTTGTAACTCTAATATTGTCATTATCATTTTTGGATTCTGTAAATCGTATCTGTAGAATGTATTTTATGGCGTCTATTTGAGAAAGCTCATATTTCCGTATTGTCATACAGAAAGCAATATAAACTTTCGAAAGAAGACTTAAATATTGCAGACTTTGTTCTACAACTTTCTAACTTTTTAGAAAAATTTAAAAAAAAAAATTCAAATTTCATCAAGTCATAAACAGCTTCTCCAATATAATTTAGTCACATATGGAAATGTTCATTGACGATAATATGATACTTGAATCAGCTTCAATATTGTCTTTTTAAGGATATATCTAAGGCAAAATATAATTCTTGGGATCTCTTGATTTTCCAGTTGGAACACTTAAGCACTCTTGGTGGTATAGAACATTAATATTTTCAACTTTGTCTATGAAATAATATTACCAGTGTCTATATGTGAGCATCACAGCCTCAATAAATAATGGAAAACACAAAGATATTCAAAATCGTTCAATTTTATTTATAAATAATACCCTAAGCACATATCTCACATTAGATTACTTTTCTACAAGGAATAGTGCTACTATTCGCTACAGTATCTTTATGGAACTATAAATTTTAAAACGCGAAGAGATTGAATGAGCACCATTTTTATAAGAAAAAGTCGGATAGTCACGGGATTCATGTTATTCGTGCATAGTTGTCCTTTAGAATAATCATGAAATCCTAATTATTTTAATCCTAATTTTGGAATTCACATGAGATTTTTAGGATTTTCGGGATTATCATGGGATTTTCGGGATTATCATGGGATTTTGGGGATTGTCATGGGATTTTTGGGATTATCATGGGATTTTTGGATTTTTATTGGGATTCAAAATCCCGAAAATCCGCCGTTTCCCCCTTGCCCCCGTCCTTTTCTTTATTTCTTATAAATTGTTTTTGGCACAAATGGTGCAATCATTTCAGTTTTTTATGTGTTTTAGTCAGAATCCGATGTTTGTTTTTAAGGAATACATACTATTTGTGATCGTTCGAAGTTTTTTTCACCTCGACTCTTGGAATATAATGATAATCCACATCAAATAGATGTATTCCTCTCTTACGGTTTCACTCTTTCTCAATAAACTACTCTGTACTCACATTCATGGTGTCAAATGCAGCTGAAACTGATATCCAGTACAATGATCGATGATTGACATTCTGTTATAGGTTGAATGTCTTAATTTCAGCAAAAATCATTTCCATTATGCTAAGACTATTTTGGATTTCGATAGTATTTCAAGCATGTATGACAGCATCTTGCCAAACTAAACATTGATCTTAGAATTCATTGGATACCTCTCTACTGACTAGAGATGGACAGCTTCAACTTCTGTTTTCTCGAGACTCTAATATGAGCTTAATGAGAATATTTATAGTTTATCTAGGTATTCATAATCTTTGTGATCTTGCAGTCTAAGTAAAGAATAACATTTGCAAGTTATATATTGTAGCATATATAATGCATGAACAGTTCAAAATTATACTAAGCTTGATTCTATCGCTACAATAACAATGAACCGAAAAAAATCATTTTTTGTAACCTGGTGTAGGTGCGGACCTTCTCTTCATCTACATTCACAGACTTGTGATCAAGTTCACTAATACTTTGAAATGAAACAATTTTCAATTATTCTGTTCGAGCCCGAACTTCTTCAAAACTTCATCTCTGTGCTTTGTGTTCACACAACGGATTGACATAATTTTCAAAAAAGAAACTCTGTTAAGCCCAATTTCATCACTGAAAAGGAAATTCAAAGGCTGCGTGAATATTTACTAGATATTACAGAAAAGTAAATAATTATCTTACTGATAAGCATAATGAATATTTTCTGTTAGTTATCGACATAACTATTGCTTTGGCGTGTCACTATGTTTACTGGACTCGATAGAGTTTGAAAATCGCTATTGCACAACAGTACTTCAACCCACTGTCTCTTAAATCAATTTTTTCATCTTATATTCACTATCAGAATAGTTTTCTAAAAACGTAATTATATATTTTGGTAGAACTTGAAATTTTCTATCAACCTGTATATTTATCTGTAGTCTTATAATTTATTATTCGAATAATAATTCAATTACAGAGGACGAAAAAAGTATTGTACTACTTTTGAAATTTTGTTTGTATTTGAACAAAATAAAATTATAATAGTAGGATTACATGTGCACGCAATACAGACTATGTAGTATAAAAAAACAATATAATAGATCTGTGAGAACAATTAAACAGCAAACATAAATAAATGGAGAAAGTGTGACTATGAAAAACTTATCTGCATAATGCTTAAGATTGTTTAGGGCAATCTTTATATATATATATATTGTTTATCTGTTAATGCACAGTATTTATAATAAATACCAAGTTCGTTGGAAGTAAATTTTTTCCATTATTGAACCATCATGGAATCAATGTTATTCTTTGTTATTGGATGATGTAGACGTACTATTTCTTTCCATTCATGAAAAATACCATTATCGAACAGACTCAGCCTGTTTTTTGGTTTAGATGGCATAAATTTGATGTTTTCTATCTCAAAACAACCAGATGACTGAAAACTTTTCATTAACTTTTTCTTATAGTAAACGGGAGATTTGTTCAAAGTTCTATATGTAAACAACAAACAACAGGCAAGAATCAGACGAAATAAAACAAGAAAGTAGGCGTTATTGAAATATTATAATATGTATAAATACTTACATTCAATAATTTTACATTTCACAATTTTTTTCATTTTTATGTATAATCGTTCTTTGCCGTATCTGTATAAAGCGCGTAACGATCACTTGTTTTTGTTATTTCATTTTTATATCATTTAGCTGATCTGTAGAATAAACAGGAAGTGCAGAACGATATTTAGGTCGAATTTTATTGCCAATATAATTAATGATATCCCATTTGTTTAATACTGCAGGTCTAGCCATTTTCAGTCGTCGTACTAAAGAATTAATGGTCCCGTCCCATCGATCAAACGATTATTTTACAAAAACATGACCATCTCTAATTTCGAATTATTTTGCGACGAAATAAAAGCTATAATTAGCTTGACTTCCTTTGTAATATGTCAGTACATACTGCTTGTACTCGAGGCTATAATAATTTTATTTTCTCTTCACTTATCTATAACCATAACATGAAGAAAAATAATGGTCAGAATAATACCTAAAATGAAGCAAGTAAAAATTGACAAAAACTTCACACTATATTAGTTTTCCATTAATCAAGTAACCTATTGAATGCTTCCTATATGCATTCTGGTACAGCATGACTGCCTAGAATACGAATATACAAAAAGTGGTAATTTTATTGCAAGTTTTGTATACAATTTTAAACATACAGCCATACCTGTTAGTAGAGTTTGGAATTCTCTATTATCTTAAACTTTTGAAATAAAAAAAAAAGTAGGGATAGATGAAATACAGTGTTTAAGAATTTGTCATCAATTTTACCTAGATGGCGTCCACCCTATCCATGAAAACATAGATATAAGATGGAGCAAAACTGTACAGGGTTTGAAGCTCTGTTAGTATCCATAATTTTTTTTTAAAAGTTATTCCTATAATGATGATAAAGTTAAAAAACTGATTGATGAGACAGCAACAAAAGCCAGTCCGTGGGAATCTCACGATGAGAGCGCTCTCCTTGCATTTGGCCTATTTTTCAGAAAATTTGTGCAAGCTAAAACATAACTACACAGAGTGATAGAAAACGTCGAATGTTTTCAGAATAGATAATTTTTTTATACGTATATTTATTTGGTAACAATATATATTAAAAAGTCGACCATAACTTTTTTTCATTGATATACATGATTATAAAACGAACAAAAAGAAATGTTTGTTTATTGATTTGGTTTCTTTCAATGAAATTGTATCATATAGAGAACAGGTAAAAATGATAATAAGATAATAAATGTTGACAGATTTTGTATCGTCTTTGTTGATGAACTATCAAGTGCATTTGATCGTACGTCATTTACATCACTAAGTATATTTATTTTGCGTAAACCTCTTTCTTCATTATTATATGTTAATTTAACAATAAAACCATCATTTAATAATTGTTGATAATAATTATCTCCTGCAGGTTTTGGTTTAATTGTTATATCTGATTTTCCATTAGATGATTTTGTTATTGTTGTTGTCATTGTTGTTGTTAATGGTATAGAAATTAATTTTTCACGATCAAATATAACAATACTTTTATATTTGCCATGATATTCATCTTTTGTTTCAATGGTAATACCTGTTTCAGTTTTAA